TCTCAAAAATAAATAAAAACGTTTAAAAAAAATTAAAAAAAAAAAGAATGCCCACATAGAAACTGGAATACTCCCAAAATGATGCCATGTACTTTTCTGTGTTTTTTATTAGAGTAAATGTGATGAAGAAAATACCAGACACTTGTACTCATGTGATATTAGCAAAAGGGCTGGTTGATTTGGCAAAGATTATTGTTCTCTGTGCAACAAATTCAAACTAACATTTCAAAAGTAGCAGAGTGTGGAGGAGATTAAAAAGGTCCAGCATAGGGGGCGCCCGGCTGGCTCAGTCAGAAGAGCATGTGACTCTTGATCTCGGGGTGGTGAGTTCAAGCCCCACAGGGGGTGGAGAGATTACTTGCATAAATAAAACTTAAAAAAAGAAAATAAATAGAAAGGCCCAGGATGGTCTATGAAAGAGTAACACCCAAATGCTGTTTCTCGTAAGTCTGGATTTTTCTTTCTTGGGTCATTTAGAGCTAAAAAGCAGCCCAGAATTAGAGACAGATCCTGGTGCATGTACTATCGCGTGTGGCATTCTCAACCCTCCGGGGCAAAAGTCACAAGGCAAGGTGACAGAATAAGCTGGTGAAAGGTATGCCAACCTGTCATTGTAAATACGGCTAATACTTTGGGTACTAGTGACCTGCCCTGGCTACAGTTCTCCACTGTTCTGTTTTGCCACCTCTCATCCACAGAATGGTTATAACCAGCTCGTTCAGATGGACAGATGATCCTGATAGATATTCCCCCCCGCCGTGTGTTCATTTGGACAACGGACGCTTGAAAAATTCGGCATCAAGGAGCCGGAGTCTGTAACAGATTCTTCTGTGAACTTGAGTGGCTTAGGCCCGGGGCAACACACTGCCGAGGGAGGTGGGAAGGGGTCACTGCTCCCAACTGTTTGAGGGTTCCACGGCAGTGAGCATCATGCTCCCTCCAGATACAAACGCAACTCCTGGAGGGGAAACGCTGCCATGTGTTTTGCTGTTATTTATTTGCTTTTTAATGTTTGTTTATCTGTGAGAGAGAGCGCGCGCAGGGGAGGGGCAGAGAGGAGACGCAAGCGGGCTCCCCTGCCCGCACAGAGCCCGGTGCGGGACTGGGACTCGAACTCACGAACCGCAAGATCACGATCTGAGCCCAAGTCAGACGCTCGACTGAGCCCAAGTCAGACGCTCGACCGACTGAACCACCCGGGCGCCCCTGTTTGGCTTTGCAATAGTTACAAGTAACTTGAAGAAAGTGTTACTTTCCGTATTGTCCCCTGGGCTCAGTACAATGCAGGGATTGGATACATACTCACAGATGGCGGCGGGGGGGGGGGGGGGGGGGGGGGGGGGGGGGGGGGGGGGGGGGGGGGGGACAGTATGAAATTGAGTGCTGTGCCATAGAGCAGGGGTCCTCAAACTGGGGTGGGCATCAGATTCAAGATTCCCAGGCCCGGCCTAAAACCACGGAAGCAGACTCACAGCACAGGTGACTCAGGTGCCCGTGACAGGCTTGAGCGGGGCCACTCTTCTCAGGGTCAGTATGTGCCCTGTGAGACTATGGCTCTGACGCTTCCTGGGTATTTCGGCCACGGTTTATTTACACCGGGCTTCCCCGAGGCACCAGTGTCCTGATTTGGTTATCACCAGAGACGGTGATACTCTGCTCTAGGATTGAGAATTAGTTAAGATTTAATAAGGGGCGAGGGTTGAGTAGAATTGGTGTGATTCTACTCGTGGTACATAAGAAGGCTCCTGGGTCCCAGCTAGGCGGGCGGGCAGCCTCGCTTCCCGAGGGTGGGACTTCAGAGCTCACGCAGGATGAGGGCTTAAGAGGCAGTCACAGGGTGACTGGGCTGGGCTAGGGGCTCCTGCTGAATCTGGCCCAGACATCTCAGGAATGGGTAGCCACCCGCCTGGGGACCCAGTAACTCTATTTTGACGGATGTCCTGGCACGTCCCAGGCAGTTATGGTCTTACCTGTTCCTCCACGCTTTCCTTCACGTTATCGACTATCCCCGAAGCATGCATTGTCAGGCAACGGCAGCTTTGGGGAGCCAGTGTCAAGTCACGGACATTAAAAACGCTCCCATTGTCCCTCAGCCTTCAGAGGTAGAAAAGGACTGCAGAGATTTAGTCGTGTGCCTTCCCTCCACCGAGAGAAGTGGGCAACAGAGAGGGGAACTGACCGCGTGAACGGCAGAGAAGATACCACAACACAGGTCTCGTTTGTACAATCCCATCACTGAGTGGGAATGAGAATTCTCTGTTCCAATCTGAAGTCTAAGTACAATAACCAGTACGACGGACACAGTTTAAGGAGCGTTCGCGTTAATGTGAATCTCTAGACTGTAGACGATCAGGGGGCAGTGACCTTATCTACAGAACTGGACGTTCAGCTCCGGTTTCTGTGACAGCTAATGGCACGTAACAGACAATAAATGTACCCTGAGGGATTTTTCTTTGAATGAATATAAAGAGTTTATTTGGTGCGTATTTGGGTATACAACAACAAATATTAAACAACTTTTTTTTTTTCACTTTTTTTTTGTGCACAGGACAGAAAACTGCCTGCACATGCTATGTCCACTTTAGGAACACAGATTTTAACATGCAACTCTATGCCAAGATTCCAACTTTCTTCCATGCAACAGATATGAAGATCTAAATGGAAACCTAGCTAAGTCTTAAACACTTTTCCAGAAGCAAGTGTAAGTATATGTTGGTTAGGGGTAACCAGTCTTAACATTTCCTTGTACACAATATTCACATGCCAAATACAACAACAGCAGGACTCGTACATATACAGATAGGACGCTTCTTATCACAACAACACAAAAGACGACATCACGGTTCCACAGTTCGTGTCTTTGTACGAGAAGCCACAACGATAGTTTGACATGATAACACAAATGGAATCAAGAGAAATCTACACTTGAGGATAATCTTTTTTTTTTTTTTAAGTAACCTTTACTGACTGGGGTTGACAATACAACTCAATTTCTATGCACAGAATACAGCACAAGAACTTGACCAGAATACACTACAAATCTAAAAAAAAAAAAAAAAATGGTAGAATCACAAGAACACTGTTACCTTGAGCCTGAGATGCCAATTCAGATTCAACCCTGAATTTGGTTGATTGGGATTAAGTGACAGAGTCAGTAGAACCATTGAATTTCAGAAATCATGGAGTCACAATATTACCAAGTAAAGAATACGTCTGAATCAAGCGTAGATGGAAAACATGAAGCCAAGAAAACAACACAGGTCACAAGAAGTTTTGTTTGCCCCTACGAAACATTTAAGCGCTTAATTTTGTTTTGCTTTGTTTTTGTTTTTGAAGAGCAATTGTGGTCTTTTACATTGTCTTGGTTGGAGAGCAAATTTTTATCAGCATTAGTGCTGTGAAATGTTTTTGGCTTTTCATCCCCAAAGCACAGGTGAGATCATGAGAAAATTGGGCAGGCCCTTCTCTCCAGGATTTAGTTCACTGATCATGCTTGGCATTCTTTTGCACAAGCTCAATCGAAATTAGGGGGCTTCAGTATGGATGATCGAAAGGTTTAATGGCAGATAGACTAGTGAACTCTGCCTGTTTGTTTGGTAAACGTCATTGACAAAAGTGAACTTTTGGGCGAAGGACCTGCTAGAATTCAACAGCACCTGGAGGTAAGGTTCTGTTACAGAGCCCTTGTTTTGCCCTCACTGGCTACGTTGATTCGTTGTGGCTCATGGATTTGCCTCCGTTCAGCACGCCGGAGACACTTCTGCTCTTGGTTGGGGTTCCGCTTCCGGACCGGGAGAACTCCGTGAGATCGTGCAGTGACGGCTCCTTGTACATGGCCACTGGAAAGCACAGACAGATGGGAGTCAAAGGCCTTCGAACGCACACCCCGCACTGGCCCTCAGCTTCTCTCCTGGTCACTAGGCTTCCATGCTTTCAGCCCAACACGGAAAATGCTGCCACCAAGGACTCAGCCGAGAATGGACTGGCTCAGCTTAAGCAAAATCTAGCGTTGGCACAGTGTGCAAGGAAGTCTAATGCCTCATTTCCATCCCTGATGGTTATATACATGAGAGGATTAACGAAAACTGCATTTAATAAAGCTCTTCGAAGGTTAAATATAATCTACAGCACGCTGTGCGAGCCAAATATTAAAATCGAACACATTTTAAAACACCGATTTCTACCATACTCGAGATGATACTCTCCGAGAGTCTAAATATTAGCGCAATTCTTAAATGCAAGAAACGCTATGTATTATTATTGTCGTTGTGCTGTATGGTTACATACACGACCATCCAGTTAGTAAAGAGGGGCGCTGGGATTTGAATCCAAGTCGTGTGGCTACGGAACGTATGCTGCTAAGCAGCGCTGAGCTCACCCGAGGGGACGGGCCACTGTTACGCTCACCTCGGTTCTAACCCCAGGCCGGTGGCCTCTGGGAGGTCTTGCTCTGCTTTGCCTCCGGTTCCCTATCCCTTCCCTCCCACGTCTCGGCTACTTCTAACAGCCTCATCTTCCGCACCCCATTTCTATCCCTCGTTCTGTCCAATCTGCTGCTAACCTCCTACTAATGGCTGTGAGACAAACCCCACGAATGAAAACTGCCAGGACGATATTGCCGGGCCCGGCAGAGGGCCCAAGGAGCTTTCCGGTAAGTGCGCGTACATTTTAGCATCTGCGTTTCTGTCCAGGAACCGTTCTGGCGTCATTTGGGGCTCCTGGCGGTCCTGAGTTAGTGATCAGCTACGCCCACGTAAGTTAAGGTGCTACTATCTATAGACGTACTATGGGAAAATTAAAATCAGAAGATCAGGTGCTATTGTCAGTGCTTTTTTCATGTTTTTAAGTGTTACAGAAGGTCAGTCCATTTCTGTATAGTTGCCTTCATGGGGAAGAATGACGTTCCACTTAGACAAGCATGATGAAGGACTGCCTCGTACACAGCTCCTATCATATCAGGTTTACCTTTGAGTGGTTTGGGCAGAAAGTGGGCTGCAGGCTTGTTCTTCTTCACGTGGTTTCCTTTCATGATCTCTCCTTCTTTGTTCAGACCCAGATACCACCCTCGGCCTGACTGCTGCTGACGATAGATCATCGACGAATAGGTCACGTAATAATTTTCAAACACCGACTCTTTGAATTTGCACTCAGGTGTAAAGTGTTCCTGCGAGAAAAGTAAATAAACCAAAGCTCAGTATTTATAGCTGTGGATTTCACGGAGAACCCTGTGGTATTGCCCTTCAGGAGTTTCGGACATACTCTGTTCAAGCTTGTACGACCGGTGCTCTATTTTAATAGCATAGACTATTACCACTGGAAACCCAGACTATATAGAACAGTCCACGTGATGCTTTGCAAAAAGCCCCAAGTGTAAGTGCTACTGATCAATGATTCGCTCTCTTTGTACTAAGATAATGGAAAAATTAGAACCAGCCACCTAACTGGAATACACTGGACAAATACAAGAGCTAAAGATCGAAAAGACAAGCATAAAGCTGTCACACGAGGCTTTGTTCCTGGCCGTTGTCAGAATTAAATATGAGAAAATAAACATTTGGTCCTTCTACTTAATTTTCAGAGATTGTCCACTTATTCTGTACTATCATTGTCAACTGCCCGAGGCTAAGAGCTGTGTTACAGTGTTTTATTACTGGCTGCCTATATTTCTAGAGGGATGCTACAAAGAAAGGCTTTGGTTGGCTGTTAGGTAAACCAAATTGATTTGTCTCTTAATCATCGGACCTTGACTTAAAAATGAAAAGAAAATTCCCCCCCCCCCACCTCGTCCTTGCCTTACAGTAACATTTACAAGCAAATCAATAGGGAAGCAGGAATTTACAGTAATTCTACAAGCAGACACGAGAGAGCAGCCCAGGGGGCTGTGAACCCTGGAATGTGATTTCTGCCGTGTACCTGGCCATGTTTTCTTTGGATCTGCCCCCACAAATGAAAACGGACTGTTTCAGAAAAGAAAAAAAAAAAAACAACCTGAAAACCTTCGTTCACGTTTTGCAGATGTGGGCGTGTGCCATAAACAGCCATTAAAAACAGCCATTTGTAAGCCAAATGAAATGAGCATCAGATTCTCATCTCTCAGTAATCCACCGAGTGGTAGACATAGAAAACAACGGTAATTTGCTGAGATGTTCTCAGCAATAACTTCTGGTAAAACCCTACCAAAAAACCTTGTAAAAAAAATCACGCGCTAGAGCACCTGGGTGGCTCAGTCGGTTGGGCGTCCGACTTCGGCTCAGGTCACGATCTCACAATTCGTGGGCTCAAGCCCCGCGTCGGGCTCTGTGCTGCCGGCTTGGAGCCCGGAGCCTGCTTCGGATTCTGTGTGTCCCCCTCTCTCTGTCCCTCCCCTGCTCACGCTCTGTTTCTCTCTCTCTCTCAAAAATCAACAAACATGAAAACACATTAAAAAAAAATCGTGTGCTTTCTGGACACCAGCCTTTCCACACAATGCCTCCACGGTCCCACCTTCGTTCATCTTCAGATTAGATATCAGTCTAAGCAACGCATGCTGTCCGAGGGACAGAATCTGGAGTGCTCTGAGACAGTCACTTCAGCAAAGAGGGACAAATTCCTCAAATGAGGCGGCCTTTCTCTGAAAGTGAAACAACAGAACCTTCTCTTCTCTTCTGGGCATCCACGAAATCTGGGTCACTCCGTCATCTCACCGATTCTCACCCAGTGCATGGATTAGAGAGTCCTCTCTGGGGGTTATTTCAGCCTAGGGGCACACTTGACAGGTCCTCTGAAGGTTCACACAAATTCAACGTGGTCAAGAAAAACGTATTTCCAAGGCAACTACTGCATGTAGGAGCCGAAGCGTTCTGTTTACGGGCTGTGAAACCGCCCCTCTGGAGGATTCTCCCAACGGTGGGACGCGATGTGCTCAGGCAGGTCCCGCAAAAGGGCTGCATTTAACGTCTTGTGTGATGGTCGCATTCATTCATTCACGTATACACGGTTTTCCGACGACCCCGCTGTACGCTTCGGTGACACAAAGAGTTCACAGGTAAATAAGTAGGGGCCTCAGGAAACTTGCAGTGTATTTGCAGGCAGGGTTTTAGGACAACAGAGGAAGCCCGCTTTCGCCCTCACTGGGGGCTGCAGAGGGGCAGCGTTCACAGAGAGGGTGTTATTTTAGCTGACCTTTGAAGGATGGGCAGGAATTCAGACCAGGAAAACGGGTAGGACTTAAAACTCCGGGGGACCTTCAAGTTCATGCACAATCTCTCCCGCCCACGAGCTTCACCTTCCGTTTTCACTGCGACTGATCGAGCTGGCGCCCTCTGACCTCTCCACTGGCCTGCTGTCATAACCTCCGAACTGGTCTCTCCTCTTCTGCTAGCAGATTCCCGCCCCCCCCCAAGCAAAGTTCCCTTCCTTGGGAACTGTTGATGGTGTCACCTGCCTTACAGTAAAACGAGCGGCTTGACATGGCATCTAAAATTCCCCAGGGGTTGGGGCGCCTGGGTGGCGCAGTCGGTTAAGCGTCCGACTTCAGCCAGGTCACGATCTCGCGGTCCGTGAGTTCGAGCCCCGCGTCAGGCTCTGGGCTGATGGCTCAGAGCCTGGAGCCTGTTTCCGATTCTGTGTCTCCCTCTCTCTCTGCCCCTCCCCCGTTCATGCTCTGTCTCTCTCTGTCCCAAAAAATAAATAAACGTTGGATAAAATTCCCCAGGGGCACCTGGGTGGCTCAGTCGGTTGAGAGACGACTTCGGCTCAGGTCATGATCTCACAGTTGGTGGGTTCGAGCCCCCAGGTCGGGCTCTGTGCTGACGGCTCAGAACCTGGAGCCTGCTTTGGGTCCATGTCTCCCTCTTTCTCTGCCCCCCGCCCCGCTTGTGCCCTCTCTCTCTCAAAAATAAAACAAAAAACATCGAAAAATTTTTAAAAATTTAAGATTTCCCACAAATCGTGGGGTGCCTGGGTGGCTCTGTCGGTGAAGCTTCCGACTCTTGATTTCGGCCCAGGTCATGATCTCAAGCTTCATGAGATCGGGCCCCGTGTCGGGCTCTGCGCGGACAGCGTGGAGCCCGCCTGGGACTGTCTCTCCCTCTCGCTCTCTGACCCTCTCCCGCTTACATTCTCCCTCTCCCCCTCTCTCTCAAAACGAAATGAAAGCTAAAAGAAATAAAAAAATACAAATAAAATAAAATCCCCCACCATTCAGACTCACGGGTGCCTTTGTGCCTTTCCAGATGCCGCTCATTTCCTTCGCTTAGGATGTAATTCTTCTGCCTTTACCTACTGGCTTTCCTCTCATCCTTCAAGGCCTAGGTCAGCTATGACTGCCTCCGGAATCACAGAGGATCTCTTAAGAGAGATCCTCAGAGCTGATGACACGCGAATTGGTGCTCCCTTAAGCCCTCCCTACACCTCTAGCTGGTCCCATGACTCAGGCACATGCAGGAGCAGCTCCAGATGGCAGGGAACTTGTCGTATTTTCTGAACACACCTTCTACCCTCACGGCCGACCGGTCGGGCTGCCTCGCACACAGCAGACCGCTTACCTATCACTCACGGGATTCGGATTTCAGAGATTCCGATTTAAGTCTTGGAAATTCCAGGATTCAGAAGTGTCAACCAGTAAAAAGTCGGCAGGGAACTTCCTTAATACCATATGGAATCGGCTGTCTGCAGAAGGAGGCTGTCATTGCACGGACAGATCCTGCACGCGCGATTTAGCATCTGTTAAGAATAACAGATACTACACAGATGCTGGCACCTACGACGTTAGGAGGCAAAACTTGGCGATTGTTACAACTATTGGAAAATGGCAAGGAAGGACTCAATGAGCTGGATGCTCTGTCACATCCTGGCAATTTCTTAGTCATCACCACTAAATTTGGACTCAAAATCTCAGTAGAGCGGGAGATGAGGCCAAAAAAAGAATGTGGAAGCAACCAAGGGACTGTTCTGTTCTGTGTGTGTGTCACTGTCATTTCATCCAGTGTTGGAACCAGTAGGCAGAAGAGGCTTCGTTTTTATCCAGTGCGGAAAAATGTGAACATCCCACCCGACACAGGAAGGGCTCGCAAAGGGAAGAGGGGTACGGCCGCGTCTCTGTCTCAGCGATGAGTCACATCAGTAACACGTACTGGATTTGACCCTATCAGGGAAGCCCTGTTCGGGGGATGCCGGGAAGACACAGGGCAAGGAATCAACGTCCTCTGATTGATCGGGAGATGATTAGCAGTGCTCTCGAAAAAGGTACCGTTGTAATCTAAGAAACAGAACAAACATATGGGAACATGGCGGGGGGAGGTAAGAGAAAAGAGGGAAACAAACCAGACACTCTGAACGATAGAGAACAAACTGAGGGTTGATGGAGGGGTGTTGGGTGGGGGGATGGGCTAGACGGGTGATGGGCATTGAGGAGGGCACTTGTTGGGATGAGCACTGGGGGTTGTACGGAAGGGATGAACCACCGGGCTCTACTCCTGAAACCAACACTGCACTGGGTGTTGACTGATATTTAGATAAAAATTTGAAAAGAGAAAAAAATACAGAAAAAGGTACCCTAGGGGCCGTGAGCATCACTTTTCTGAATTTCACGCGCATGAGATAAACGTCTGCCATCATCATAAATGAACGCTTTCAGGAGATGCCAAGCATTCCCTGCATAGTCGCTAAGAAGTTATCTGGCATGGGTACAAAAGAAAGGGTGCTTTTTTGTATCTTACGACGTTTTATGCATCGATTTCTCTTAAAAGTTGTTTCTCTCGCATATCTATGTATTTTTTTTCCAGAGGAATAACGTCTTTTTGGTTCATGAACTAATCAATCTGTCTTTAAATCTCCTCTGTGCCATCCTCTCTATTCTCCTTGAAGTTCGAGGTTAGTGTTTTCTCAGTGAATATTGAACCTTTTTACCTAAAGAATCCATACCAGTTAGCGATAATGACTCTATCTGGGGTAAGGGAGAAGGACCTATGCAGAATGAGCAGATCCAGGAGCAAAATCGACCATTTCTCTTTACCAATTTAGACACTGTTAAGGGGGGAATCGTTTCTTGGAGGTTGAGAGATCACTGACAAGAAGGAAACATCTGAAGCCTTCTGCATCACGTTCCAAGAACACACTGGAGAACGCCTCTAGCCACAAACGGTAATGGTCAGCCACCCTTATCGGGGCTCAAGACCTCTACGC